GGAGCGAAGATCCTCGTAATAAATTTAAACCTCACAAGGAAGCTGTTAACGTGCCTGAGATCGATGAATAAGCGCAGCTTCTTCTCTTTAGCAACTGACAAGGGGTTAACACAAAATGGCGGAACACTGTGCTCAATAATGCAACTGTTGGCTAAAAGCTGCGAGATAGCTTGTGTCACAAATTCAGAATGCTGAAAGGCCGATCTGTTATTAGCCAAAAAACACGAGGGCAGATATTCTGCGAAAGGAAGCCTGTACCCACGCCTGATGGTGTCAAGCACAAATTCAGGAGCACTCAAGGTACTCTTCCAAAATTCAATGGAGGCGCTCAAACGACCCTTGACACCGCTCCTAGTGCTTTTAACATTAGAATCGTGGTAACTACCCAAAAAAAAGGGAAGAAAAATCGAACTCAACTGAATGCTGAAGAACGTTCTCTGAGCTTGAATCCACGTCTAGTCAAGAATGGCCCGAGTCACTCCTTGGCGCAACAGACGGCTTAGAACAGTAGGTGCTCAAATGGCCAAACTCCCCACACTATAAGATAAACAATGCAAAATTAAAGTTCTGTATGCGATGGCATTCACAACTTGAAGGATGAATACCAGTTAACTTCAGACTTATATACCACTATGCAAATAACTACACACAAGAGACATACTGGAATGCGTTCTTAGCGAGGACCACATTCCATACAGAATGTGCAGAAAACAAATATCTGCTAAACTTCGTAACGCAGATATTTATATATTCTGCACTAACTTAAGCGAATAAAACCAAATGAAATCAAGACACAACAAATCATGGAGAACATTGGATTGTGGGCTGCGAGCAACGCCATCAATCCGCAGTAAAAACAAAGAAGTAAGATGCGTGAGTGAACTGAACCAAGCAAAAAAGATTTAAATACTTATCTTGAAACAGGGACCCAAGCCGGCCGCTCTTAAGTGTTCATTCCTTTTTTTAATTTTTCAGTTCTTGCCATGACACCACAAAAAATGATAAATTCTCACAAGTATCACCGGCACACAGTTGAAAAAAATTAAATGACTTTTCCTAGCAGAAAAATTTAAATAAGTTTGACCTGCACATCGTGGCAGCTTAGAAGAATGCCTTGTATGGCACAAAAGTCTCACAAAAATGGAATTGCAATGAAGTAAGAAAATAATTTACAATTAGCAGGCAAAATGAAAATTAAATTTCAAAAAGCCTAGTTTTGGAGCCTAGAGGATAGAAGGATAGAGGAACCATGATGTTCCAGAGCTAGCCCCAGTTTGATCCTGGGGGTAACATGTGAAAGTGTTGTATGATCATCTGGGTGAGTGTAGTCCTGAGAAGGACTGTTGGTGGTGGTGGTGGTGACTGATGTTTCGAAAACCTGTGTTGAGAACGACTCAATGAATCCCCAGTTAAACTCAACGTTTTACTTTATTTTGACTAAAGGCAAAACCTCCCTGGCCAATACTCGATCTACACAAGGCAAAATCTCGAACTAAGTAAAAGTACTTGACATTTGATCCATCTCACTCATTTTAAAAATACCATAAATGTAACTCAACATCACGTTCTCCTGAACAACCTGTGTGGAAGTCATCATCAGAGTCAAGTGAAGAGTTGTTTTTAAGTTTATGGAGATTTTCCCATGATTAAACTTGTACTTGTAACCCGGAATTGTTCGGGTTCTTTTGGCAATCATTTTGTCATGTGTTGGAAAAAATAAATATGTAATTCCCTAGCACAAGTTGTTACGTATTGCAAAAAACTGTGCCGCCTGTCTTGAGTATCACCTGAGGACCACGGCCTTGGCTGGTATCCAAGCCCTCGGGCACAGTTTTTCCCAGTAAAGGCCTCCTGGCTGGTGAATAACATATTTGCTACCATTTAATTAATGGCCAAGTGTCAATCAGTGACTATATTCTTGAAGCATCTTTCTCTTGTGGAACAGGGTACTCATAACTATGTGGGATGCAGCAGTAGCAGCCAGATGCAGTCTTAACCACCTTTTTTTTTTTGGAGTATCTTATTAGCTTGATCTTCACACTTGATGCACATTTCAGTTCTCTCCTATAATAAATTCAAGCTCATAGACACTATAGTGCATTGTGTTTTCATTTCTTGATGTAACACTTCAGAAGACAGCAGAAGACAAAAAAATCTCACAATCATTTCGTACAGAGATGTCTTAATACGTGTGATCTGTGCAACATGAAACTTGTGAACATGAAAAGAGAGGGCACTTAACCATTTAAATCAGTGTAAGATATAATATTTTTGATTCCTTCTGTGACACTGCCAAAAAGAAAAAGAAAATCTCAAAATGATTTGTGTTAGGCCAATTACATCTAGAATGAAATGAAATCACTTAGATTTAAATTTGATGTCAACAATCAACCTATCTCATCACAAGCAGCCCAAGCACACAATCTGTATGTGATTAGGGGGTTTAAGGGTCACAAACGGGAATGTCTCATAAACCAAGGTTGAGGTTAAAGTATTCATGGGTGAAGTGAAAGAAGGGAAAAAATTACAAAAAGAAGAAAAAATAACAAGCATAATTATGATAAAACTAGGAGAAATAAGTGTCCTTACCTTTCTTCTTTAGCCACCATGTCACTTCCAGCCATTTTATTCCTATTTTGTTAACTTTCTTTGTACAGCATGTTTTGGGCAAGCAAGAACTTATCACAAGATATAAATGTCGAAGAAATCAAACCCTGAATTTCTTAATCACTTTGAATGTAATTTGTGCGACACAATTTATGATGGAACCAAACACTTACACCAATGTGTGTGTGAGCATTATAACTCTGTCATCAGAAACATGTCACTATGACACACAGACTAGACAAAAAGGAACTCATTGATCATCTCTTTAAAGTACTTTGAAAATGTTGAAGGCTTGTCAAAAATGAAAAGTTTTCAGAGGTGTCATGTATTGTAATTGTTTTCTAGCATTGGAGTTTAAATTTTTTTTTTTATGAAAATTGGTGAATGAGTGTCACTATACAAGATAATGTAACACTTTGAAATTAGTGCCCACTTTTGAACAAGTCATTTCTACTTTCCAGTTTGCTCTCTAATTTCATGTCCATCATAAGGGAAATTGTTAGAGATTCCAGTGTCAGAGTTGTTGGAGATGCTCTATGACTGTTGAATTTAATGAAGCTCTTGTCTACAATTACAAACTCTCAAGTTAAAGATTGTAAAGAATTATTCTTGAGATCTTGTGGTGTAACCGCCTCCCGGTTAGCTCGATAGATAGAGCGCTGGACTGTTGTGCAGGAGGTTGAGGGTTTGAGCCCTGGCCAGACCAACACTCAGGGTCTTATAATTGAGAAGAATGTGCCACCTTTCTATAACAACAAGAAATGGTTAGATATTCTAGTCTTCTCGGATAGGGAGGAATAAATGGAGGTCCCGTCTCCTGCAGGGTTAGAGACAGGAGACGTTAATTTCCCACACACGAGATTACTGTGTGATGGATGTCCTTCCCTGGGGTGGGATGGGTGGGCAACAGGACCCCTGTTGATACCAGTGTTTACTAC